ACAGCGTGTGTGTGTGTGTGTGTGTGTGTGTGTGTGTGTGTGTGTGTGTGTGTGTGTGTGTGTGTGTGTGTGTGTGTGTGTGTGTGTGTGTGTGTGTGTGTGTAAGCGTCTGTTTCTCACCATTCATAACAGCAGCCGTACAATACCTCCTTTGCCTCACCTTGTATCCGGGTCGCGTGTTGAGCGGGGACTGAAGTAGACTTGAATTCCACGCCGAGTCCATTGTTGCCGGTGATTACGTCATCATCATCAGCAGCAGCAACCGGTGTGCGAATGAGGGAGTGAGGGAGAGGAGGAATCGTTGTGCGAAGAGATGGTGGGGAGGAGGGAGAGGGTGAGAAAGGAGGAGAGGGAAAGAGAGAAAGGTGGAGAGGGTGAGGGAAATAGAACGAAAAGTGAAGAGGGTGAGGGAGAGAGAGAGAAAGGTGGAGAGGGAGAGAGAGAGAGATGGTGGGGAGGAGGGAGAGGGTGAGAAAAGTGGAGAGGGTGAGGGAGAGAGAGAGAGAGAGAATGGTGGAGAGGGTGAGGGAGAGAGAGGTAGAGGGGAAGGTGGGAGGTTGAGAGAGTGAGAGAAAATGAAATATAGAGACGTAGAAAAAAAGACAAACAATTGAAGATCAGAAGGAGAGAGAGAGAAAAACAAAATAGAATGAGAGAGTGAGAACAGAAAGATCACGATAGAATATGAAACACCATGAAACCATTTAAAAACAAAAACATAAGAAGAGAGTTTGCGAGTTCCTTGTATGGCGCCAACTCGGCCCTCTATAATCAGCTGTTTTAAGTTTTTGTTTCGCTAACTGACTAAGTAATCACTCCACGCCCTTGCTCCTCAGTGACACAAACAACAAACCTCTTATATCGAAGAGTGTGAAGAGTAAAAAGAGTTCGAAGACTTAGTAATCTTATGAAGGAGTGATAAGACAAAGAAGTGGAATAGTTAGTGTTTGACCCCGTGTACTGTGCAGGACAACAGGCATGGGTGGGCGTGGGCGGACGGGCGGGTGAGTGTGTGTGTGTGCGTGTTTGTTTGTCAGTCAGTGTGTGTTTATTTGTGTGTGTGCGTGTGCATGTGTTTGTGTGCGTGTATGTGTCTATTTGTTCGTGTCTGTGTGTTTGTTTGTGTATGTGGGTGTTGGTTTCCATTTGTATGTATACGTATGCATGCGTCTGTATGTATATATCTGATTGTTGATGTGTATGTATTTACATGTTTATGTGTATGTATGTATGTCCAGTTCTACCCTTGTGTTTGTTCATTTGCGTGGGCGTTCCTGTTCTTTTTTCCTCGCGGATGGCCAGACGCGGAATCCAGTCGCCAGACAGGTTCGTGCGCCACAGCTTTTGCATATTTTCAGTGAAGGAATTTCTTATAGGTAGTTTTTTGGCCATTCTGGGGGGCGCTACCTTGGTAATTTATTCGGTTGTTTGTTATTGTATGTTTTGTTTGTTTTTTCGTTTAAGTTTTATTTGTTTGTTTTTGTTCATTTAAGTTTTAAGTTGTTGTTAAGAGACGTTTCCTTGATCATTTATTGTTGTCTGTGACTTGTTCTTTATTCTATTATTATTATTATTTTTTTTTTTACTGAATTAAGTTGTTTCTATAGATTGATTTTTGGCCATTCAGAAAGACGCTTGTTTGATCTTTTACTGTTGTGTTTTTTTCATTTTTTAAGTTTTGTGTAGATGTATTCCGGGTTTCTTGAATTCCAATTGTGGTTTATTTTTATTTTCGTTTGTGTGTGTTTGTGTGTGCGTGCGTGTGTGTATGTGTGTGTGTGTGTGTGTGTGTGTGTGTGTGTGTGTGTGTGTGTGTGTGTGTGTTTGTGTGTGTAATTGGTGATAATGAAAGGATGGTTGTTGATGTTTGCGATTTGGCGATTCTGCTGTTTTTGTTGTGATTTTTTTGCGATCTTGTTGAGCTGCTACTGTTTTACTGTTTTTAGTTGCCCTTGTCACGATTTTGTAATATTGTTGTTGTCTTTGCGATTTTGCGATTTTATAATTTTGTTGCTGGTGGCGTTGCCGATTTATTGATTTTCTTATCACGAATTTGATCATTCTGTTGCCGTTTTCTATGCGATTTAGTGATTTTCTTGTCGCGAATTTTATCATTCTGTCGCAGTTTTCTTTGCGATTTTGTGATTTTCTTGTCGCGAACTTTATAATTGCATTGCCGTTTTCTTTGCGATTTTCTTGTTGTCGCGAATTTGATCATTCTGTTGCAGTTTTCTTTCCGATTTATTGATTTTCTTGTCACAAACTTTATAAATACGTTGCCATTTTCTTTCCGATTTTCTGATTTTCTCGTTGTCGCGAATTTTTGTCATTCCGTTGCAGTTGCCCTTGTGACTTTTTGCCGTTTTTGCCGCTGCCTGTTGTCCTCCATTCAGGGCGAGAGAAAGAGCGAAAGATGAGCAATTTGCGAGGCGCGGCTTTGACACACTCGACAACGATGCTCGGATGACGAATGAGAAACACGTGAATGAGATGAAAATGAGTAACGCTGAGGAGAAGGAATGAGTGACTAAGGGGAAGGAGGGGAAGGAAAAGGGGGGCGGAGGTGGGAGGGGGTGGGGGGAAGGGGGAAGGAAGGGGGTAGGAGGGAAGGAAGGGGGGAAAGGAGGGAAGGAAGGGGGGAGGAGGGAAAGGGGGGAAGGAAGGGGGGAGGGAAAGGGGGGAAGGAAGGGGGGAGGGAAGGGTGGAAGGAGAGAGGGGGAGAAGGAGGGAAAGGGATGGATTAAGGAAGAAAGGAAGGAAGGGAGGAAGATAAGGAAGTTTGCGATTGGAGAGAAGTAAGATTAAGGAGTGGAAGAGGAAGAGGGAGAGAGGGAAGAATGGGAGGATAGGAGGAATTGGGAAAGATAAAAAAAATTGGAAGTAACAGAGGGGGAGGAAGAATAAGGAAGAGGGAGAGGAGATACAAGGGGGTAAGGGACAAGGAATAAGGAAGGAGGAAATAGGAAAGGAAAAGAAAAAAATAAGGTTAGAAGAATTAGGAGAAAAGCTTAAAGAAATAAGTAGGAAGCGGAGAATTAGAACTAGGAGAAAGAGAGAGTAAATAGGAAAGAAGGAGAAATGGAGAATGAGAAAGGGAATGAATTGAAGAAAGGGATAGAATAACAGGTGGAAGAAGAGGAAAGCAAGAGGGATAAATAAGGGAAAAGAAGAAATAATAAGCGGAGGAGAAGGAAGAGAAAAGAGAAGGAATGGAGGAGAAGGGAGAGGAGTAAGAAAAGAGAAGTAGTTGAGAATTGAAAGAATTGAAAGAGGAGAGTAGAAGAAGAAGACAAAGAAAAGG